GATCACAGCGCGATGTTTTCGTCCCGCTGTGATGACATCACGTGCGCGCTTTTGTCGAGCGCGCTTTTGTCTACCGCCGTTTTGTGGTGGAACCGTGTGTTTCCCATCAAACAGAGTATCTAAATGAGTTTTGCCTTGCAAGGACTTATTCTCCTATCTGTTTACTACAAGACTAATTCAATCATCCGTGACAAGGGCCTCCTGGGAGGAAAAAGAACCCACAACCACTATAGATTAACCATTCCACTGCTGTACACAAAGTGTTTTGTTGTTGAAACTAATCCGAAAGAAGCAACAGAAGGGAATATTTGTAGTTCAGGTTGAACTCTGAGGCCCCTTGTGCTCTCTGAGCTTGGCTGTTTTCTTGCAGACATTTCATCACCCAGGTGGGTAACATTATCAGCGCTACCTGGCACAGCACTGATGTTACCTGGCCGATGAAACATGTGGAAGAAAACAGCCGAACCATGAGAGCACCAAGGACCACATAGTCAACAAGACATATTGAAGATGATCCAAACACAATGTCTACCTTAGACATTTCTTCCAGATGTTCCAGGGGGAAATTCCAACCATTCCTGGTCATTGGCTATAGAGAGTGTCAGGCTGATGGACTTCGAATCCAACAACATGTGGTGGACACTCTTTCCTAATTCTGCGATCCGCAGCGCCAGATGTTCTACATTACTTACTTGATTTCATTGGCTATCTCTTCTTGGGTTTCCTTCTTTTTCTTTCGGTAGATAAACATCTGAAGTGTAAAAAATACGATCAGGCCGAGTCCGATGAGGGTCCCCACGACTGCACCAGCCACCACTGCTGTATTGAATGCTGCAAAAGGAGCCACAACAGTAAAGATGTTTTCGGGATTTATAAAAAAAAAAAATTGAGATGGGAAAAAGATTTCAGCAAATCCTACCTTTCTCAACCGTTCCCAACCTCCTGCCTCTCTAGACACTTGTGCCTACTTAATCCTAATTATAATCCCTCTAACCTCTTCACACCAAACACAACTGGTTTGGGATCCAATCTCTGCGTGAACATTTAGGATGATTTATATATCATTGATATCAATCTTAACTTCCAGAAAGGCTACACGGGGCTGTTCCCCCCATGGTTATCCGAAACAACGGTGAAATAGACTAGGCTGGGAGATATTGACTGCTCAAACCATTTCAGGAACAAATGAGATATTCTCCTTGGTTTTCCCTGTCCTAAATCCTCTCTGTGGACCACCACCAGAGGTGGGTTCCTACCAGTTCGCACCTATTCGGTAGAACCGGTTCGTCAAATCTACCGAANAGATTTTCAGATATTATAAAATTGAGGGCAATACTGTATCTAATAAACTAGAAGGCAGAAATAAAATTTAAAATATTTGAGGAATAGGCTGACTGTAACAGAATAAAATTCCAGAGACTTGACCAGAATCTTGAAAGGTTGGATTTTATGTCCCAAATGATCCCTTCCATTTCTGTGGTCCCATAAAAAATCTCACTGACATTCCTTTCAGATAACATCCCTCAAAGTAAGGATGCTTGAATGCCTACCTACGAAAGAGCAGATTACTTCTTCTTCTAGTGAGAATTTTCAAAAACATTTTAAATAACATCTCTATGACTAAATTTTTGGGTAAGTTAGCTAGCTGCTATCATTCAGGACAGACTGCCATCTTAACTATTCTTGTGACCTAGCAGGTTCTGAGCATTTATTGTTTCCTGTAGTCAGAACACTTAAGCGTATTAAACTCTGTTGTAATTGAACAATAGAATAATTGCAGTTTTTGAATTTTGTTCAGTCAAAATGCAGCTAAATCAGAAGGTAGGCATTTTTCCTGATCTCAAATACATTTTCATTTCTTGAATTTTTTATATTCAGAGTTAGGATAACCACCCTAATGCTAATTTTAGTAGGAAAATGAAATTATCCCTGCTATATTTTCTACCCCTTCCCCCAGTGGGGAATGTGAGAAGAAAAAAACACAATGCAAATCTAAACATTTACAGACAAAGTATGGGGGAAATGTAGATTTGTAATGCAATCAGGTCAAAACAATCTTCTTGTAAACAAAAAGATTTAGCCTTCAAAGTACAGCAAATATTTGCAGACATAGACATAGTGAAAAGTGACTTTCTCAAATAGAGGCAATGAAAGAACTGAGGCGTAGCTAATTAAAATGGCACATCAAGGCATAAAGAGACAATATAATGGTAAAGAAGCAATGGAGAATAGACTTGTTTTCAATAAATGTGGAGGCCATCTTAATGTAATGTAACTATTCAGTGCAAAGATTGTGATGTACAATTAAAGCCAGCATTTTATGAGAGTGTTGCTTTCCATGAAATTGCAAAGAAACACATTTCTGAGCATTAAGCTTGCTTGCAAAGACAGTGCTTTGGACAATGATACAGTAAGGTGATACTTAGAAAGTGTGTTTGCATAAACCAGCTTACCCTAATCAGCACTGAGATATTTCTTTTTTAGTAAAAGCTAACTTAACCTTGAACACAGACTCTCTCTCTCTTTCTCTGAGAGAAAGAGAGATCTCTTTCTCTAAGAGAAAGAGAGAATACCTATTTGTTTCATAGCAGCTGCCATTTCAGAATGTATCTGGTGAATGTCAAAGCCATTGCCTTGGACAAAAACCACAGTAGCCAGGAATATCTCAGTAAGATGGCATCCAAAGATGAGGTGCTGAGCTAATGTATGAGATAGCAGCAGACATGGGAGAAAGATCAAGCAGAGGAAGTGCCATGGCACGACGGATTGAACTATCAACAGATAGCTCAGACGGCTGACATTGAGAAATCCTACCAATGATTGGAAAGGGCTGGAATAAAAGTCAGCATAGAGACACCAATCATAGCAATACAAGCACAGGTACTAAGTACCAGGTCCGTAGAAGCAGGTTTACCACACTAGGGAGGATCTAAGATGCCGACTATGCAGAGGCACCTTGGAGACAGTCCAACACATAACAGCAGGGATTAAGATGCAGCAGAGGCAGCATACGCTGAATGGCATAACTCAGTAGCTAACCCTGGGTACAGGAACCTCTATACAGAATATGGGCTGCACCCTCCTACATCCACGTGGGAAATCTCACAGAAGGTTGTGGAGAATGTGGACTTCCAAATTTACACAGAAAAACAGGGAACGGTAGTAGGCAAAGGCCAAAGTGATCCCAGTGGCAGTTAGGGCCCTCGAGGCTGTGATTCCTAAGCTGACAGAATGGCTCCAGCAGATTCCAGGAATAACATGAGCTCTCTGTTCAGAAGAGAACAATGCTAGAAGCAGCTAAGATACTGCACAGAACATTCAAACTCCCTGATAGAGGGGCTGAGATTGAGGAAAACATACCACTCATAGAGGTGAGAAGGTTTTTTTTTTTAACAATAATCAGTTTTATGTTGCAAAACCAGACTTGTTTCATAGCAGCTATCATTTAAGAATGTGCACAGAAGTAGAACATAATGTTTTGATCTAAAAAAAGTCCACAACTAAAAAAAAAGTCAGTTCTGATCTTGATATAAAACCAATTGATATAAAACCAATTTTGGTGAAAAGTAACTGCAATACAACCCTTCAAATTATTTTTCATTTTGCGCTACATTCAACCCACTCATGAACTTAAATTCTCCTTAGAATGTACATTTCTATATCAGCTGACATGCTACAATTAGGGTTTTAATTTTTGTAATTAGCTTAGACTCCAGATAGCCATCACTTTGGGAAATACATACTTCTCAACAGCACTGAAAAGATAAATATTCAATTATCAATTACGTCTCTTAGGATCTGAAAAAAATCAGAATTGAAATGGCCATTTTGAAGCTTATAAATTCTTCCTGATTTGGTGGCAGCAGGAGAAAAGAAGTATCCGGGTTTGCTTCTTTCAAATATCGAAGCAAATCTGCCCATTTCAGATCTGCTGAATAAATAGGGGAGTCACAAATGTATCTTACATGCTTAAACCTATATTCCAGAATGTGGTGCTGCAGTTTGAAGAGCACCCACACACACAGAAATAAAAATGAAAAACTATGAAAAAATTATGTATTCTGAGGAAAATACATACGGCATATATCCCTTAGAGAAAAATATACAGAAAAACAAACAGTTTAATAGAAAAAAAAGTACCATTGGCGCACATCCTATGAAAAGTTTATAAAACACCTTCCCACCCATTTTGATGAAAGTGTTAGAGCATGGGGATTTCTCAGGAAGAATGATGAACAGAAGATGGCTCCACTGAGAGAAGCTGATGACTGAAGCACAATGAAGATCCAGAATGAAAAGCAAATCTTCATGATTTCTATCCCAACAAGGATTGGGATCACCTATAAATGCTCCAGATGGCAGATCCTTTTGAGGAGACTACATAATAGCAATGTCTTGGGCCCATACTGTGGAAATGATGTGGAAAGAAGTGTTCACACTGATCATACAGAGTACTGAGAGATGAGGGACTGCTATCTTTGTCTGACTTGCAAACAGCACCTTTATGAACATAGTATTCACATACTTCCTTTCTTATCTTTGGAAATTGCTTCTTAACTGCTTTTCAGATATTGAGAACTTCCTAACAACACGTTTTATTACAGTGGGTGAGTTTCTTGCAATCTCCAGCAAATTAAGTTTTATATAAGTATAAGGACTTTTTTAAAAAAGTCTCTTTATAGTAAAAGGGTGATTAGAATATTAATTCTGCAAAATTATAAATGGACCAAAGTCCAGATGGATTTCAAATAGGATTCTGAAGCTAATTATAAGAACCCTTCCTATGGGAAAAGTCTGATGTTTTGAATACTTAAAAAATGTGTGTGATAAGATAAAATTTTGAAAGTAGAGGGAATGAAAAGAAGTTAAAGAATAAAGTTACTTAAACAGAATGGAGCAAACTACATTAACATTAGATCTATTGAAAAATATTGGAGGAGAGTCTTACCCAATTATCTGAAAATGGATTGAAATGGATTGATCTAAGGAAGTCAACAGGATCCTTAAGATTCTGAGCTCAGCCAACAGCTCTTTAAATCCCTTCTGATTTGTTAACGTGGCCTGGGGAGTGGGTTTTAACCATGGTTAATTCTTCTTTAAATGAGACGGTTGTTTCCTTGCCTCTTAAAGGGGCTTTGGTTCAGCCCTTCTCAAGTCACCACTGGATCCCATCATACTGGATATTTAATCACAGTATCTAACCTCCCTTTGGTGGGGGGGGGGGGGGAGGTGATTCCAAACAGCTTCAAAGGACCTTGAAAGGTGTGGAATATCAGGATCCTTTTCAGTCAGGATTCAGACCTGGATATTGGACATAAATGACATTGGTTGTGCTTTTAGATAACCTCTGGAAAGATGGGATGAGGATTGTCTATCTATTCTTGCCCTACTTTAACTCTCAGTGGCTTTCAATGCCATTGACCAGGACATCCTTCTGGTTTGTGTACTGCTGAATGTACAGATGAAAGCTGTTGATATTTTACCAAATCTGAATAACATGCTTATACTGAATTTACAAAACAGACCTGTTAAAGTTGTGAAGAATTTTGTGAGAAGGGACCAGAAAGTAAAAATGAGAAGAAATCAAATTCCAGAACTTTATTTGATAGGATTAAGGATTAACATTATTAAAGGTACAAAGAAATAATATAAAGTTGGTTTATTTGGTTAAGATTAAAATAGATATGTAATCTCTGGAAAGCCTTAATAGACCTTTGCTGAGTAAGACTTAATGACAAGGCTTTTAAGGATTTGTTTATCGATAAGAAATGGGTTATGAGAAGAAGTCTTCTTCTGATAAATACATTCTCAACATGTGTATTTAAAATCCATCACTTTGAAAATCAAAGTGTATTTTGTGATTCAACGCTTGCAAATTAGATATACCATATCTGGCCTGAACAATTTCAGACAATCAGCGCAGCAAAGAAGTGTATCTCCTTGCTGCAATCTGTTGGTAGTCCA